CCCTTGTTGTAGTAGAGTCTGTTGGTAACGCTGCAACTGGTAGTAGGAGTGGTAGAGGAGGGAAACGAGGCGCCCAGGTGTTAGATGAGGAACAGCAAAGGAAGAGGATCCGGGAAATATTTATGTCACCCACTGATGAAGAATCCTTTGAAGATTTCTCCGAGAGTGAAATGAGTGAGGAGGAGGAAGGAGATTCAGATGGGAATGGAGGCACTAAGAGGATTACTCGAGAGCAGGAGTCATACGAGGAGTGTCAGAGAAAGAAGATCTGGGACATACTGCTCCCACAGAGGAAGAGGATTTCATGGGTTTTTCTGGGAATGATGGGTCTGGGAGTGATGGGGATGAAGAAGAACCACTGGATTGGACCAAGGTACAGGAGGTTCAGAATGTATGTACTCAACCAATGTCCAGTGACACTTTTGCGGGGTTTTCTGGTGGTGGGGATTGGCAATCTGGTGATACTGTGGAATCATGGGGAGACCTAAGTCTTCACAAGAGGTGGAAGAGTTGGAGGATAGGCGTTGGCATTCAACTGTAGAAGCTAAGTCAGCTGATAGTAATGAGGATGGGGTGGAGGGCAGCTCATCATCGGATGATGAGCTGTAGGATAAATGAAGGCACTGGAATAATTGAACTTTGCAGTAGGCAAAGTGTTGGTTTCGTGCCTTGGGTCTTGTTGCTGCTGCTTTCCTGTTGGGCTTGGGTCCTGGATCTGCAGGTTGCTGTTTGCTTCGTGTACCAACCGGCTTGGATTCTTGTAAGTGCGGGTTTCACCTCTCCTTGACTTCGGACTGTTTTTGATGACGACACTGCTTCTTGGACTTTGGAACTTTCAACTGGGATTTCTTTGACTTTGAACTGCTACTAGACGACGGTTTCTCTTCAAGGCACTTTGTTTATTTTCTTTGAACTGTGTGATTTTTTTAAATAAATTTTTATTTAATTTTATAATTACAGCGAAAGTGGGGGAATAATCCAAGAAGATAGAAAAGTAGGAAAATTAAGAAGATAGTACCCATAACCCCCGTGTGAAAAAAATAAAAAAAATAAAAAATACCTAGAATAAAAAATAAAATCAAATAACAGCAAAAAATCACACACACAAAAAAGATAAAAATAAAAATTTTACTTCCTTCTGATACTGCCCGTTCAGCCATCCCTTAAATCCATGTCTTAAATTTAATCCAGTTTGCATCTTGATTATATCCTCAGTACTGTTATAAGTTCTTATAATTGGTTTCCATATAATCGTCAATTGTTGACCAATTAGTCTGTTTAATTGGATTGCCTGTATTCTTTTTTAATAAAAAAGTTAACTTGTCCATATCCTTAATTTCATTCACCTTATTTATCCAAAGGAGTTTATCTGGTATTTCTTTCAGTTTCCAAAGTTTCGCAAAGACAATTCTAGCGGCTGTTGTCATGTATGTAAACAGAATATCCTCATTCGAATCTAATTTTATATCAGCATCTATAATTCTCAATAGGTAATATTCTGCTTTTCTTGGAAATTTTTTTTATTAAGGATTTTCTGCATTTTGTCATGGATATCTTTCCAATACTTCTGAGATTCTCCACAGCTTCACCATAAGTGGAAAAAGCTGCCTTCATGCTCATTACATTTCCAACATGATTTTGATACATCCTTATACATATGATTTAGTTTAACTGGGGTCATGTACCACCTATGAAACATTTTCATACAATTCTCCTTTAAATCCGTTGCATAGATGTATTTTGATGTGTTTTGGAAGAGCTCTTTTTTAATACGGGTTTTTTGCCAGTTTAATTTGGTTTATTTTCTGAGTTCATTTTTCAAGCTAGAAATTGCTACAAACTTTGAGTTTTGTCCAGAGGCACTGAAGCAAGTGTCTCTGAGTCCTGTTTACTTTGCTTTAATAAACAATAGTTTTGGACATACTCCTGTGTCACTCTTTAAGGCATCTGGGTTCCGACATCCCTTCTCCCACTCCTCTCAAACCTCTAACCTAAACTACTTTCACGGCAGCCTTCCACAGTACCATGGTTTTTTCTTCCATAACTGTTTAATGTAGTGTATCACTCTGCCCGCTCTGAATCCAACCCAGTGTGGAATTGGTTGCCACAGGACAGCCACTGAATTTGATGGTATTGACGGGATAGACAACAATGACAGTTGCCTAGGACAGTTACTGGGTTTGATGATGTTGACGGGATGGACAATAGCGGTTAATGAAATATCACTTCTCTGTGTAGAGGTCATTTAATCTTGAATATGAGTTGATGGGGTGCAAACAAGATGATAAGGCTGTTGACATTACACTCCACTTGTGGTCTTCCCAAAGGTATGCTGGGATGCTAATTTGACCCATAGTATGGGCAAACAGAGCTCTATGTACTTAACACTTCTTTGTTTCCTCCCTCAGTTTTACTAGCATCAAGGAAATTGCATTTTATTTTAGAGCATTTTTTCTGTATTGATTTCATCCTGTCCTGAATTGCCTCACTTGGAAACTGGGATGGCACAGTCTTGAATGCAGAATTAAGACTCGTTGATGTATTGTCAAAGGCTTTCATGGCTAGAATCATTGGGTTGTGAGTTTCCCGAGCTGTATGGCCATGTTCCAGAAGCATTCTCTCCTGATGTTTCGCCTGCATCTATGGCAGGCATCCTCACAAGCTTTGCAGCTTCTAAAGATAGACCCTCGGAGTTGTTTAGAGCGGTGCAGGGTTTATTGAATCCAAAAGTAGAAGATCATGTGTTTCACTCGAATGCACACTGCGAGGCATTTACCCACCACTTTGCCTCCAAGATCAGTGGGATTTGTGCTGATTTGAACACCACCTTTGTTACAACTCCCGTGGATGTAGACATAGCATTGCCTGGTCCTGTTCTTATGGATTCTTTTCAACTTGTCTTACAGAGGATGCTGACAGAATCCTGGGAGAAGTTAGGGCCACCTCCTGCATTCTTGACCCTTGTTCCTCTTACTAATAAAACCAGCCAGGGGAACATGCTTTGGATAATGGAGTTGATTAATGCCTCGCTTCACCAAGACAATATCTCCACAGCACTTAAAGAAGCTGTGGTGAGACCATTGCTCAAAAAATAATCCCTTAATCCTACCATGCTTGACAATTTCAGGCCTGTGTCAAATCTGCCATTCATTAGTAAAATCTTGGAGCAGGTGGTGGCCAGACAACTCCAAGGATTTCTGGATGAGGTTGATTGTCTAGATTCATTTCAATCAGGCTTCAGGCTGGGATATGGGACAGAAATTGCGTTGGTCGCCTTGGTGGATGATCTATGCAGAGAACTGGACAGGGGGAACGTGGCCTTGCTCGTTCGGCATTCAGTACCATCGACCATGGTATCCTTCTGGTGCGACTTGTGAGAATGGGACTAGGAGACTCTGTTCTACAGTGGTTCCAGTCCTTTTTTACAGGCCATATCCAGAAAGTGGTTTGGTGGAGTCCTGCTCAACCCCATGGGGTGCTACAAGGGTCCTATATCTTTATCCCCAATGTAGTTCAATATCTACATGAAACTGCTGGGAGAGCTCATCCGGAGTTTTGGAGTT